GAATACTTACTAGAAACCTATCTTAAATTTATTATTCTCAGACTTGAAATCTTTTAAAATACTTTCGAATGAAGTAGAATTGATAAATTTTGGAAATTAACATCTAATAAATAATTAGAATCAGAATGAGTATTTTAATTTAATAATTGTAAAGATAGCTTTCTTGATATTAGTTAAAATTGCTTGTTTGTGATACCTTATCAAACATTACTGATTTAAATAATGTGCCCCTTGATGATTTTTTTATAACCAGAGTAGAACAATTTTGAGTTTATGACTATCAATGTTCAACTCCGTAGCCTTGTGATTTTGAGCCAAACCCAGAAGACAAAAGAATTCTTGGATCAAGCATTTAGACAAACTAGACTTCGTTGGCGACTTTTAAATTCGTATCAACCAATCACAGCTGGGAACGTTCTCTCTCCTGTTCCAGTGGCGCCATATATGGTCAAGAATTTGACTTCTGCCACACTCGTACCTCACACCCATTTATAGGGCGAACCCATCCATAGATCGTAATTTTGATCTGAACCAGAGAGCAATCACTTTCCAATTCAGTACTCCTAAAGGTATTGATTTGTTATGGGAACATAAAGGACTTTGTAACCCTGCATATTTAACGTGTTCCAGTCCCCATTTACCACACGGGGAATCTTCGGCCGGCTGGATTCGAACTCCCGTTTTCACAAGCGTGAGTCCAGCGCCCGGCCAACCAGGCTATCTCGGCCACAATGCTTGTATATTGATAGGTCAAACGGTAATTGAAAATCTATAATTTAAAATCAATGAAACCGTGCGTTTCTTAATTGTTATTGATACAAAACTGTTGTGCATCACGAATATATCAGAGCAATACTTAGAAAGTATTCTGATTGCCAAACTTTGATTAATTCAAATAAATAATTGAAATGCGTATCTAGCACCAATACTTAAAAATGTCCTTTGCGATCGTTGCAAATACAAATTTCTTCGAGTCAAGTTTTAACCTCGCAATATTCTGAGTCAAGAAGGGATTTTTAGCAAATAAAGAAAAAAAATTATTCAAGTTGTGATACAACCTCACACTTTTCCTTATTACATTAGTCGAATGCAACTTAGTAGATAAATAATTGTGATTTCAAATAAATGAAAAGTTATAAGAATGTACATTATCGAACTTTTTTCCTGGAAAAAAATATTGGTTTGCCATTAGTCCTCTTTACAATCAGATATTAGACATTCAATTTTCTCTCGAGAAATGAATTGGTTCAGTAATCAAAGCTATGACATAGAAACAAGTTTGATTAACCACTTTTTCAACAAAAAAGTTAAGTAAGTTTTTTATTTTGAAGGAGTGATGATGCTTTTTAAACTTAAAAATTTTCTGAAGAAAAAGAGTGAACATAATTTCAAAAATGACTGAGACTTTATTCATTTCATTTGTTCAAAGTCAGCAGTCATTGGTTAAGCGAAAAATGCTTTTTTTCTTTGTTGGAAGAAACAATTGATTTTTTCCTATCATTTATCAAGTTCTTTACATGCCTAAAATCACATTCTAAACTTGTATTGAAAAAAAATTAAGACGCTTTCAAAAGTAAGGATAGTGACGATTTTGCGATTGATGTATACTGGTTTTTTATTGAAGTGCTTAAACGTGTTTTTTTCTTATAGCTATGTTTTAAAAATCGGCTAAAAAGAAAAATCTGATTATAGTTCTTAGACAGAACATCAGTTTGCATTGGATACGTTTTGAAGTTTTCCCTTTCTTGGTATAATTTTTGATATTACACGAAAAGTTTTTTTTCAAAGAAAGGTTTTCATTCTGTTATTTTATTTGAAAAATAAATCAAACAGCTTAGTTATATATCCTTTTTAACATCTCCTTATTTTGGCTTCCCAAAAACACAAAACAAGATCTGCCTGCCTGATTTCAAAAGCACCGCAGACTAGATGTATTATTCTTGAATTGCGGACCTTTAAAGAAGTTTAAAAAAGTTACTGATATTTTTTTTCTAACTGAAATATTTGAAGCTCATCGAAGAAAATACTCAACGTTTTTTATAATTCGAGGAAAAACTGGTCAAAATGCATTTCAAGATTTTAAAATCCTTTAAAAGGTTATTTTTTGAGACTTTTGGTCAAAGGAAATGAAAAAGCTACAGTTTGAGTGAAATCAAGTAAATAATTTAATTTCAATGAAGTCGTACGTTTCTTAATTGTTAATGATACAAAACTATTGAGCATCACAAATATATCAGAACAATACTTAGAAAGTATTCTTATCACCAAATTGTGATTATTTCAAATAAATAAAATGAATGTTTGTTATGTGTAGCGCCAACACTAAAAAAAAGTCCTTTGCGATTGTTGCAAACATTGATTTCAAGTCAAAATGTACACTCGCAATGTTCTGAATCAAACAACATTAAGTTGAGATTCTTAGCATGTAAAGAAAATAAATGATTTAATTTGTGTTACAACAACATACTTTTTTTAATATATTGAAAGAATTCAACTTAGTAGACAAAATTTTAAAATTGACTAACATTTTTTGTAAAATTTCGCTTAGTTTTGTAATGTTTTGTTTATTCTTAATTAAACAACAATATTCTGAATTAAACAACATCAAATTGAGATTTTAAGCGAAAAAATTATTTAAGTAATTTATAATATTTAAATAATTATTTAAAAAATTAAAAATGAACTATTTAAGTTGTTACAACTACATACCTTTCTTTAGTATATCGGACGAATTCAACGTAGTGATAAAATTGTAAAACAGCAGTTTTTGTATAGTTTTGTTTAGTCTTTAACTTTTTAAATTTTTTTAGTCACATAAAATGGAACAGCCTCAATTTGATTGTTTTTAAACCCAAACAAAGCTTGAATTTTAAACTTCTTGTAATATCCAGCTGAAAAAACTGATTAAACTTTGAAATAGGCAAATATTTTAAACGTAATTTAGTAAAAAAAATCTCTAAGCTGCAAGGCAATAGTACCCCCCCTCCTAACGAAATCTAAAATCCGAAAGCTCTTAATCTAAATGAATTATTTTAAACTTTGTATATTTTAATGAGCCCAAACAATGCTGTGTTTAACTAACTATTCAAGTATTAGAACTGAAAATATATCATAAACGCTTTCCGTTTTACAAAAAGATGTTGATTTTATTAATCACGTTAAAATTTTGAGTCATTTTTATAATCAGCCTAACGAGCATTTGCTGGACATCGGTTACTAACTCCCCACACTGATAAAAAGTAGCTTATTATTTTAAACGTCATTTTTCCAATCAGACTAACGAGCATTAGCTGGACAGCGGTTACAAACTCCTCACACTGATAAAAAGTAGCTTATTATTTTAAACGTCATTTTTACAATCAGACTATCGAGCATTAGCTGGACAGGGGTTACAAACTCCCCACACTGATAAAAAGTAGCTTATTATTTTAAACGTCATTTTTACGATCAGACTAACGAGCATTAGCTGGACAGCGGTTACAAACTCCCCACACTGATTAAAAGCAGCTTATTATTTGCTAGAAAGCGTCATTTCATTTAGCAAAAGATCGTTGAATGAATCGTAAAATATATATATGCATATTCATCATAGTCATTTGCATACTAGTTGCAATTGTTGAAGAAAATAGAAATTACTTAAATCATCGAGCAGAAAATTTATATATTTTTCGCATAACTAAATGAGTTTGTATATAATTCGTATTTATTTTTAAGTTAATAAATTACTAAATTAGTTCTTAATTGAATGAAACACATATTTATCACAATATCAACTTAAATACGAAGAAATTCCATTAAAAACAAATTATATTAATTCTATTATAGGTTTGAAAGCAACCGCAACTCCGACTCTAAGAATTGACTAAATTAATTTAAATACTTTTATTTCATGCTTATGTGTATGTATTTAAGTACGCATATTTATTTAGTCACTTAGAACTTTCAATATAATTCTAAGGACAAAAATCAATAATCTTAAAATATTATTTTCATTTAATTTCAAATTAAAACAGTTTTTTTTAATATTATTTAAAAAAAGTTCAATGTATATAGATTAGCACTTAAAATTTACGAATTTCTATAAAGTCGTAGTTCACCTAGAGATGTTGTTACCTAATGGTTTGGGATCTCAATTGAAAATATGCAGCATTTACAAAATACTATTCATCAAGCTTTTAAAACCAAGTGTTAAGTCACACTCATAAAGCTTTTTGCATTTCATTATTGAGCTTAAATGCAAAGATATGCCATTAAATTGTCATCAGCAAGCAACATTTGTTCATTATAACTAGAAAATTTACATTTATTTTTGGCAATATTTCAAATTTTTCGGTGCAACCTTCACTTATGATTTAAAAGTTTCTTATTTTCCCTTTAAATGACTACAAATGTGCTGGTTTAGTTTAGGCATTAGAAACTTTGAAAATCTATTTATTAAATGTGAAAAGAATTTAATAAGCTTTAAGTTAATTTATTTGAAATGTGATAGAAATACTTACATTTTTTTAATACTTTGCTCACTTTACTACCCTTTTTAATACGGATAGCTATTTAACTTCTTTTTTTTAAATGTAGTATATGAAGAATTCTTCACGTGAATTTATATCACGTGGATGAAATATTTCTAGGTAATTGCCAAGTCATTAAAGGAGATACAATTGCCAAAAATACTGGAAACCTTAAGTTTAATCCTGCTTTTCAATTAGTTTTGAATGAACATTAAATTGAGAAAAGTTGACACTTGAGTAATTGCAAAAATAACATATATATCTTAATTCATTTTAAAACTAAAAAAAAGTAAAAATTACCGAGAAAGGTTTAATCATTATTCAGAAAAATAAAGCTTTTTAAACTCTAATTGAGTTATTTGATATAATACTTTCAAATAAATCTGATTGTTTGAAGTTACAATATGAGAATTATTTGATTCTAAAAACAAACATTCCGATACTTACACAAAATGTTTTATTTATCTTAGACTAATTAAAACTTTTTTTTAGGTACGGAATATGGAACAGAACATCTTTAGGAAACTAGGGATTTTTTAAACAACGAAAATCTACGGTAAGTTTACTTATTTGAGAAATAGTTTTCTACATTTTCTGCCTGATTTTTAAGGTACATTCTTTCTATTCCTAAGACACATAATTTTACATATTCTGTTTGATTTTTTAAAGGTATTTTATCTTTTTCTAGAGATATTTCCTTTTAAGTTTACTGATTCCTTTTTTTGTTTTCCCTAAATCCCTTTATATATACTTTTTTCCAAACCGACTATTTTATTCAATTTTGGATCAATATTAAATAATATATTTAAATTGTGAAACATTAAAAGTTCATTGTTTTTTTTCGAAATTGTTTAAAACAAAATTATTTCCAAGAGATTGTTGTTAAGTAATTTTAAGCCTAATTTGGTTTCAAAAGATAGATTTCCATAAAGAAATGCTGTTGATTAATACTGTTCGATGACTGATAGTAATCGGAACAATCTCTTCGATTTCTGTGATTTGAACGTCTTTTTTATTCTTTTGATAATTTCCAGCCCTCATATACAACACATGGTTGGCGAGTTTGCGTCAAAAGCATCTTGACAAACTTCCATCTGATATCTTGTACTAACTCATGTAAAGTTAATATATCTTTATGTAGAAAATTCGTCAAAGGCACGCAGAAATAAGTTATAATTTTTTGAAAGCAAAATAAACTTAATTTTTAGAACTTACTGCAATTAGCTAGAATTTTTGAAGACTAAAATTAACTAAAATTCTCGAAGATTACAAGAAGAATGGCTAGTTTTGGCTCAAAAATTGCTTACATTTTTTAGGTGTAGTTATTTGATTTTGTAATTGTTATTTTACTGAAGTGGCAATGTTTTTAGCAAATTAACATTGATTTGGGGAAGTAATTTATTTATGCTACCCTAATTTATGTAGTTTCTGAAAATAAATTCTTTTTGAGGAAATTTTCATGAATCCTGATATTCTCTTTTGCAATAGATTCGGTACAGAGTTTTTTTTTTAAATACTTTTCCTTGTTCTATTTTAAATCCTCCGTAGTGAATTTTCGTGTACAAATGGAGCAATACTTATGATTTTGAAGTCATGATTTTAAATTACTGTATTACATAATAGTGATTTTGTGTGATTAGTAAGTTAAATTCTTTAACCCCTAATTCGTGATATATAAATATTCCTTACGTATTATTTTTGCTGTGTTGTTTCTAATACCATTTGCCAATATCAGCAAGCCTGCTTCAAGAGATTTTAAGGCAGAGGGTGCGTGGGGAGGGGCAAAGGGGTTCATTTATGCCCAAAAATAGGATTTAAGCCCCAGACGCACACGTCACAGCCCGTTTTACAGGGTGGACCCATTCATACATCCGTTCATACATCCATTCATTTATCCGCAAATCTCAATTTTGACCTGAGCGATCAATCTCCAATTCAATACCCCCAGACATATTGATTTGTTATGGGAACTTAGAGGACTTAGTGACCTAGACAGATTTGACGTGTACTAGTCACCGTTTAGTACACGGAGTTTCATCGGCCGGTGAGATTCAAACTCCCATTTTTAAGAACATGGACCCAACGTCCTAAATAACGTCCTAACCAGGCTATATCAGGCCTATTATTACTACTATTTTTGTTGTTTAGTATTGTATTCATTGCTTAAGCTAACTGCTCTAAACGAGAATGTATTGTTGTTTTCTTTATTTTTTATTTATTTCAATAATCTATCAGTTTAGAATAATTTAAAAATATAAGAACAATATTAAAATCACCGATTTATAAAATCGTTAGCAAAAAAACAATGTTCTATTTCTTGTCGTGAATAATTTTTTTTAAAAAAAAAACAATTTTTTTTGAATTATTAACAACTTTGTAGCTTATGTTTGTAAGTTATGCAAAGTTAGAAAGCTAATTTTAACACATTTGTTACATAAAATATTTTTCTAAAATTAGCATAGATCGGGAACAGTTCTAATTTTGAATCATAGCTTTTATTTATTGCATTATGATTTCTGTTAGTAAATTTATGCCTGAAGAATAGAAGCATCAAATATGTTACCTTATTTAGACAATAATTTATTGCAAATTCCAGTACCTATATTTGAACATAATGCCATCACTTAATGAAATTGTTCTAACATAATTCAGATGGGTTCGTATTTGAAAGCGATTCAACTCATTTAAATAATTAATAGAGCGTGTTTTACTCAGGACACTCTCATATTAGTAAGTTCAACCGGGCATGTCGAGTAATTCACCTGAGACTTAACTAAATTAATACAACTACTGATGAGCTTAATGCTTTTAAGTTATTCTCTGTTAACTGTTTCAACCACACATGTGATGTCACATTATTGATTGGGTAATTTGTTAAAAGTGCTCAGAGACTTATTTTGCACTATCAAAAAAAAAATCATAAAGATATTTTATTTTGAAAAGAAGTTTATAAAACGTAAAAGTATAATTATATTGACTTACAAAGTTAAAAATTAGTAAAAAATAACACCGCACGAACATTTACCATCTCAAATGCGCCTTCGTTTATTTTATCAATTGTGGAATAAAAGTTTATAATGAGGAAAAGAAAGCGATCCGAAAATCGCGCCATTTTTATTGGGGAAAAAATCGTTTGCTAAATGAAATTGTTTCTAAAATAATTTTTATAAGATAATTAACTTAAGTATGATAAAATGAACTTCAAAATTAAAAAAGTTTCAAAATTATTAAAGTAAAATAATTTTTTACCCCTTATAGTTCATTATATTTAATTAAAAAATAATAATTTAAATTAAAAAATAGAAAAAGATTCAGAAATACGTACCAAATCATGTTTGCTTTTCAATTTAAACTTTCTTAAACCTAATAAGAATACACCAATACATTATTTCAGTTGCAAATTACTTAATAGCTTGTATTTTAAGTTGTACAAAATTTAGAACAATTTGAAACACATTTCATAAAAAACTTGAATATAGAGTTAACTTTTACATTGGATGCAATCAGCTGCTGATTTGATTAATAATTTGTGTGAAATGAAATCAATTACCCAGTATTAAATTTATGTAGTGAGAATATTAGCAAAACAGTTACATATTTAATGAATTTAATACCATTACATAAAGAAACTTTTTTCATTGTAATAAAAAAGAGTTAGCGAAATTCCATAGTAATTCAATTCATTGATGTAGTTAATGGAGCCTGTTAGTCGGGACATTTTCATATTAGTAAGTTCAACCGAGCATGTCTAGTTATTCACCACATATTTAAACTGCATTAATGAAACTTCCGATGAACTTAATGCGTTTCAGTTGTAAGTTATTTCCCGGTAACCATATCGGAAAAAAAAACACGTGAACCTTGAGATACATAGATTGGGCTGTTAGTTAAAATTGCACACAAATAGATTTTTTGAAAAAATTCTGTTTCAAACCTGAGCGTAACTAAAAATTTATTTTTGCAGTTAAAGTTAAGTGTTAGTTAAACATAGATACATGAAAATCTATTTTTAAAGTTAAAGCAATGAGTGTTAAAATTTTAAAACTTTGGGCTTCTAAAATTATTAGATATTGTATGTATACAATATAGAAGGTGTATTTCAATAACCTGCTTCCTATTAAGGAACAATACTTAACGCATTACATTAAGACACACTAAAAAATTTCGGATCAAATTACGATATAAAGTAACTTAAAAAATTAAATTTTGAACATATTTTAACTGTTACAACTATATTAATAAATTAGTTAAAAAATATTTTCGAAATATTTTTGTCAAAATGAAACTTTGTCCCAGTTTTATGAAACTTTATCCCAGTTTTATAAAACTTTATGCCAGTTTTTTTTCCCAGCTGATTCAATTAATAGAAAAATTTATCAACGTACAATCATTTTAATTTAATTCAGGGAATAAAAGTATTTCTCAGTAATAATTTTCGTTTCAGTTTTTTACTTTAATGCAATAATAATCTTTTATCTTTGCAGTATTAGAAATTCATTTTAAGTTGTTTTTAATCATATCATTATCAAATAAAGTGAAATTTACCCATATAAATCATACAAAATTTCCCTCATTCATCGAAGAAAATGAAGGAAGTAAAAAATAGAAGTTACATCGAGAAACCAGTTACAGTTGTCAATTATTTGATACTCTAAATTCAATGAAAAACATAAAAATTTGTTAAGGTTTCAAAATTTATAATATTTTTAACCCTACAAATCTAATAAGTAATTTAGTAATTTGTAAAAATTCGAATAGGTGAAAATTTTGAAACTAAATTTTTCTGACGTTCTTTGAAGTCGTACGTAATTTTGTCCAACATATTTAAATCCCTTTATAGTTTTGAATCCCTTTATAGTTTTGAATCCCTTTATACTAAATTATGATTCTCTGTATAAATGAGTTTGAATAACTTCATGCGGAGAAAAAATTCTAGTAAAATTACCGCATTGTATGCTATTTTTATTTCTGATAAAAAACCGTAATTATGTTAATAAAGCCAAAATATATGATATTAAAACCAATCATTTGGCATTTTTTCCATTCGTATAGTAAAGGCTTACCGGAAATTCCGGTTTTCGCAATTAAATTTTGACAATTATATTTCGCTTATTACCACAAATTTAGTAAAAAAATACAAAACTGAAAAGTAAATTTAACCGCATAAATGGTTTTTATTCCATACTCTAAGTTATCATGATAAAATTTTACCAAATTTTAGCATGCATTATAAAACCATATTTTATTGTTAATTTTACCAAAACAACAGACAAAGCGCTTAAGTAAAAATTGCCGTGCTTTTTGGTGTTCCCATAGAACCAGAAACATGGTAAATTTTACCATATTCTGGTAATTGTAATTTTTTTTTTCTGAGTGTAGATTTCAAATTTTTAAATATTTTTTAAAATACTCTTGCTTGTACAGTATAATCCATTCTGTGAAAAAAATGAAACGTGTCGTATTTTATAATGGCCCAAGAAATGAAAAAGATAAAATCAAATAAGGAAACTTCACTTTTCCTAAAATCTGAAGTAATTAAAGTACAAAGAAAATTAT